GGACTCGAGATTTTTGCTCAAGAGGTTTTGTCAATTCACTTGCAAGATTGACCCTCCACAGAGATACCTAATTTATACAACTTGGGCACCTTTTGAAGGAATTCTGTTAAGAAATACTGCAAATTGGATTCTTATGTGCATCAAAGACCTTGTTAAATGCTAATTATGAGACTCTATAGGGATTCACAATGCTTTTTGCGATCGATTGATCTAAGTTTACAAATCTTGGGGAGGTCAGAGGTGAATTGCAACGTAATCTGTGACAGTAGCATGTGCTCGTGATTGGGTGGATTCACCCACAGTCTCACTGCTTTCTTAATTGCCATAACCACAGACAGGAGGAAAGTTGCCTCCTTTTTGTCCAGACCATTCTCACTGACTGAAAGCTGCAGGGGATAGATGTTCATTGCTGCAGAAGCAGAATGTTTCCTTTACTTTGCGAATGGTGGAGGAGGGAAGAAAGCACATGCAGATGATCAGAAGGCTGGCGCTCGTACCTCAAGCTGCTTGTCAGACTGCAGCTGCTTCCGCAGTTTGTTTCATGGCTCAAGTGCATGTCTGAAGTAAATATTTTAATAACTGTGAGGTGCTAAGTGTGTGCAGCGTCCAGCCGCTTACTGTGTCCCGCCCACAGTTATTATGTTACTTATCTGAGTGGAACTGAGGCCTGAACTCCTCTCCCCAAACTAATGATGGCATTTATTATTTAGATTAAGGTTATATGACAAGTTTTAACTGAAAGGTTTGTTTAAACGAATAAAAAACTGAAGGGTTTTTCTGACAGATTTTCCAGACGAATGTTGTATATATTTATAAGTACTTTACGACCTGTAGAGCTTTCTGTGTGGGGTCTGGGAGATCTCGCACAAGATGCTCGATGTTAAGTCTGCTTATAATAATACTGTTAAGAACAGCGCCAGAAGCATACACTGTTCATTCACACAAATCCTTATAAGGAGAGTTATGAAGCTGCTGCAATTTTGGAGAAAAGTCAGCTTTGCTAACTCTGATGAAAAAAGATCTCAATTAGAAAAGCCAGTGCACTGCAGAGGAGAACAACGAGGATGATCCCCAGTGTTGGATGGATGAGCTATGAGAAGCGATTTGATAAGGTAGGGCTCTTCAGTTTTAAAAAGACTTCTCGGACTTGATAGAGGTAAATAAGATACTGAATGGGATTTGAGAAACAGAACTCAGAACAGTACTTTCAGATACCACGGCAGCAGAACAGGAGGCATGGGTTTAGAGTTATAAAAGAATTTCAGGCGAGGCACTCATTACTTATTTACATAGATGGTAATTAGTAACATGTTCACAGCAGGGATGGTTGAGGTCTGGGCTGTGGACCCATTTAAAATAGAACGGTGGTATTCTTGAAGAATGAGATTTAATTAGTCAATGTATTTTCTTCATCTGAACCTCACTTGTAGTCTTGGAAAATAAGAGCGCATACTTCCTTGGATGTATCTTCAAATGAGGAGTAAGCAGTCTCTGAGAGGAAGACGAGCAGTAGTAGATCAAGTGAGTGAGGAAGGGGAACTGTGCAGGAAGCCGGGAAAGTGGGGAGCAGTGGGACTTGGCAACCAAAAGAGGGGACAAGACCAGAATGGAGATGGGGTGAGAGAGGTAGGTAATGCCAGACACATTTAAGGGATCAAAATATGACATTCAGTGTTATCACATTGTCAGATATTCTGCTCCAAGTAATGTTCCATGAAACATCGAATTCTGCTGTCTTTCTGGGAACCAGCACCGAAATATTAAAATCCAGGAGCAGGAGGTTCAGGTGCGGTAGCTGTTTCATTGATACTGCAAGTGCTTTAGGCCTATAAATTGCATAAGTTTGGTGAAGGGTTTTCACCAATGGCTAAGAATCAACTGAATAGCTAGTAATTGCCTGGAGCATTGCCCAGCGTGGAAAGTCCAACATTGTGTTAAGTGTAACTGTTTCACATAATAGTAATAATAATAATAGTAATGATATGACGTCTTATCACGCATCAGCTCCTGTTAACCCTGCAAGCCAAAGCCCTTATAGGTAGGGTGATCCTTCCTCACTGGACAAGCTGCAGGAAAGCTTGCCAGACAACAACATCAATGGCAAGCTATGCAGTTTTTGTTGGTTTGACTCCAGTTCTGGGGTCACTCTGAGCTCTGGGTCACCAACGCACACTCTGGGTTCCCAAACTTTGGCTCTTACCAACCTGAGCCTAATACTTTATGGAATAAGGCAAGCAGGGTGAGGTAGAGGTAGAGAGTGTGCATTGCATTCCAACAATCTATCTCTGGGATTTCCAAGCATAGATGGGATGCATGGAATTCTCAGTTTGGTTGGTGATGGGTTTCCAGATGTGTCAGGCATCCGGCTGACCAAAAAAAGGATAAAATTTAACCTGTTAGGAAACATTGCAAATTTCACCCTGACTATCTATCAAAACATACGTACTAAGTGCTCCAGGGTGCTACCCCGTATGAAGGGTGCTACATAAAGGCAAGTTGTTGTTGTTGTACTACAATTTACATTGGTGTAGTGGATTTTATGTCAGGAGATTGACTCAAAGCGTTTCACATTGATGGCTCGGCAACCAAGCCAGGGTGGGAAGAGATCATCTGTATGATGGGTGGTTTGATTCAACTACATCTGCTCTTTAGCTGAGTTGATATCCACTATCTGCAGTGGTCTACTCTAGAATTTCTGAACCAGATCTGGAAACATAAGGGATTAAGGTCAAATGTATAAACTGGCATCTTATTCTGTGCCACAACTAAATACGGTCAGACTAGCTCTTGAATCCAGTGTAGTTGTCCTAAACCAGATGCTCGGGGGGTGGGGGGTGGGGGGCTGTATAGTTACACACTGTGCAGGCCCTCCAGCTGCCCAGCGTATGCACAAGTCTATCCAGGATAATGTATGGACAATGTAATTAATGGCTTTATCTTTTGGAGAGAGCCAGCAGGTAAAAGCTGTGTTACAGGATGAAGAGAATATCAATCTCAGTCCAAGGCTTTAAATCAAAGAAATAAATACAGCCTCCAGACAGCTGTTAGTAAACTGCGGAATGTTGGCCGGTCACTAACATGTACCAGAGACTATAGCTGGCCAGTAAAGGATTAATGAAACATATTTTTGCTGGGCTCTCAATTAGCACCAGATTCTGTTAAACTTGCCACAAACCATTTTGAAGTGACAAGACCGGTTTTGGCCAGGAGTATTTTATTGGTATTTTAAATGGATGATAATAAATGGTTTCATAAACAAGGATGTACTGAACCCCTCCCTCAGACCCCACAACTACATACCGTGTAATCATTTTCATAAAGTGCATGTCCTGATAAGAGTTTTCTTTCAGGTATTTTTGTTTATTTAAAATATAACCAAAATAATACTTCAGAGGTGCTTTATTTTGCAATTTCCCAACTTCTACACCAGTTTGGCCCATTATTGAATGGAGGCACAGTTTTGACCCAAAATGTAACCTATAAGTGTATTTTTCCTGCCAGGAATGTGGATCAATAAAACTGGGGATTTAGAGTTATTAGATATTTGACATCTCCCCCCACCCTTCCCCCTCCTCTTCCAAAAGGAGAAAGAACCTTTAAATGCCAGTCACGTCTGGCTCAGGATCACACAATCCTCCCCAGCACACCAGACCTGGAGCTACTTTCCCATCAACATGCTATTTTAATAAGAGTGAAAAATTTAACATTCTACTTCTCACCAGTGATATTGTCATTGAAAATACCGTCAATGTAGATGATTCGGCCAATGTCTGTCTACAGTTCCATGCACAAGAGAGTGAGAGTTCCATGCATGCTACCCACGCATGGAAATTCCAGAGTAATTGATAGCACTTGTTCGCTGCTTGTCAGCTCGGACCACCTTACCTATCGGGGGCTTTGGCCTGCAAGGTTAACAGGAGGTGAGTGGGAAGAATCCCTTTCCCCACTGACTAATCTGCCCCTACAAGTCTTGCCGATAGACCAGGCTGGCTTTGCTGTTATCAGCAGTGCCCTGGAATACTGTGGACCTGCCTGGCTCAGAAACAGCTCTGCCAAGATCGCCACAGAGTGGGCTCGATTCTGACATTCCATTGCCAAGCATGTCACCTGGAGATGGTTCAACTTCAAGGAGAGCCCACTTACTCTCCTCAAGGAGGAGAGTCATTAGTTGTCATTTAACATCCAACCAGCACAGGTTTCAATCCTCTCTAAGTGGATGTAAAAAATGGTTGTCATGAAGCTGTGGATTGGAATATTTCAATGTGTGCAAAATACCAGCGTAACTCAGCTTTAGTCCCAATTATTTTGACAGATTGGAGTGGAGAGGTTCCCTGTAGCCAGACATCAAAAGAGACATTGATAGGAATGGAATTCTGATAATGTAATGATATCATCAGTGTTACATATCACACCACATAGTGCATGTCTCTCCCCTTCCCCTCCTAATTTTTAACTGCAATTTCATAACTACATATAGCAAATTGTTTGATCCAAATGTTCTTCATTTTTCAGTCAGGTCCAAATCCAAAATGCCTTGGGGCATCCTCCCAATGTGAAAGGCTTCATACAAATGTAATTTGTTGTTCTTCTTCTTTTTCATTGCATTGAAAAAACAATGGAACAATGCAGTGCTACTTCCAAGTCAGAACTGTGGATGTGGTGTTGAGGCATCCTTGTCGTTTATGGGAGAAAGAAAATCTAAGGAACAATTATGTTTTTACTACCCCTGTGAAAAAGAGATGGCTGTTCTCTTTGCTCAGCTGCCAGAGATGTAATTGGATCTTCTACAATGGAACATAAATTGTTTGAACTTTCACAGCTTGGAAGCCGGGATGTTTTTTATTGACCAATAACTCATTGGCAAGCTGATGCAATGGGAAAAGATAATGCACCTCACTAAAAAATAGATCCAGATTTCTCCTTACGTCATCTTTTTTCTACAAAATACAAACTTTTCAATTCATTCTTATTGAATGCTCACCTTATTTTTGTCTTTGCAGCTCTGGGCCAGATTATGCTGTATGTGGATGGGATGAATGGAGTGATAGGACACAATGAAACCATCCAGTGGCTCTACACGCTCATAGGGTCAAAGGTAAGAAGAAATAAGAGGTAAACATGAGAGCATCACAAATTTGACAAGTGTCATACTTTATGTATCAACAACACAAAACAGTCCATTTATTGGTATACACACACAGTGGCGCTCATTATAAGGTGGTAAATGAGAATCATAAAAGGGCCTAAGGGCTTTTACATTCACAGTTCATAAATGCAAAAGGACTTCAATGGCACTTTAAAAAGCCGACTGGCAAATGTTCAGTATGCAGGAAGTGACTCGACTGTGACCTCATTACCCAGAAGTCGGCCGTTTTGGCTTCCAAAATGCCAACAGGTTTTGCAAGTGCGGGTGGAACCGACTATTAAATTTTGTATTTTTTTGAATAAGTAAATGTTGTCAGCGACCATCCAACAATTCAAATGAAGTACCTTGAAAAGGGGATCTACTGTAATGTGTGTGCATCTAATGACGGAATGCATTTTTCCTTTAAAGTTCAACTTCACAGGCTGGTAGATTAAAGTATGTGGCATTATTCTCCATGTATCTAATTCCTGAATCTTAACAGATCCTGTGGCAAGAAGTCCTGAGAGGAATTATTGAGGGTGAAAAATTAGGCTTTGAGTATATCTGGGATGCTTTAGATTTTAAGAGCAACTTTAGTAATGTGATGGTCCCTTCCATTATAGTCAAGAAATGATACATGGTTCAGGAAACCTAAAGATTGCAAAAGAATGGGGGAAGGGTTTATAGAATTCATGAACCAATGGATATAAATGGAATTTGCATGAGAATTACACAAATAAATCCACAAGTGTATTGTGATGTTGAGTTGATCTCTTGGATCAATACCAATATCAATACCAGTGCCTGCCTTATTGCTTGGTTCTCAATATGAACAAATTAATATATTTTACATTCTGTTCTTGGCAAAAGATCGAATATAAAATGAGATGGACTTACAGTGGTTCTGAGGTGATGCGGAATGTAGTTGGGACATGGCATCATTCAAAGTTTGAGGTTTTTTTTTACTGTCTCAGAATGGTAATCCATTGGCACCTTTGATTCCTGATATTGTAACAACTGCAGGCCATCTTCATTCAGTGATCCAGGTCTTCATTCATTGTGTGGTTCAAGTCTTAATCCCTCCATGGTGTTGCTCCACCCTACCTCTTCAACCTCCCACTTCGGTCAGCGGGCATCGGCATGCTTCATGTCCCACCCTCCCCTCCGTTTGTATAGTGCAGAATTTTTTCAGTGTGTGGATGAAAGGAAGACAGCTAATAAGGCTATAAAGGGTAGGTTATGTAAAATGCGCAAAGCAGCACTCATTCCACGCAAGTTGTATCTTAGAGTTTTATCTTGTGGGCTGCATGGTGGATCTGAAGTATACAGTACAGTTGATCTGATATAAGGTTCGCAAGTGACTAATATTGAACAAACTAGAAACTAAGCGATAGAATTTGTGAGTTTTTCAGGATTCTGCATGCATTAAGAAACACTAGATATCTCCCAGTAGATAGAGAACCCTTCACTACGTAAGTGAAATTGTCGCCTTCTAATTCGCTTAACTTTTCAGAAATCATCAAGCATTGGCTGAGTCTTGGCTTTACCTACTGGTAGTTATGAAACATTCCTTAACTAATATAAGGCAAGATTTTTTTAAAAAATTGGAAATTCTATACACAGAAGTCTGACGAAACTTGAAATATTGTCACATTAACAAGAAGACCAATGTTTTAAAGGAAAATAATTTGACTGAAATAATGATAGTCATCCAAACAGGAAATGTTAATCTTCACTCTAGAGGACTACAGGTCAGCCAACTCATATGAGTAAGTTGTTTTTAACAAAGGAATACTAAAAAAAATAAAGTATTTCAAGCTCTCAATGTTACTTCCAGAAGGCATAATTATATGAAAACCACTTGAAAATTGCCCTTTACATTTAGTGGCTTGCAGCCATATGCATTAATTATATACATTAGTTTCAGCAGTCAGTATCACAGATTAGAACATGCTGTTCTGTGATTCATAGATAGTGTAAAAAGGAAAAAAAAAATGTATTCTCATTACTGAAGCTGGTCCACAAAACCAAAGTGCCCGATGAAGATGTGAGGTTTGAAATGTATCATGTCTAAGCCTTCGTGTTCTGATATTTTAAGTTAGTGTCAGCCTGGCTCAGTTGGTGGCACTCACCTCTGAGTCAGAAGGTTGTGGGTTCAAGCCCCAAGTGGGGACTTGCTCACAAGCTCACAATCTAGGCTGTCCAACTTAGTGCTGGGGAGTGCTGTATTGTCAAAGATGTTGTCCTTTAGATTAGATGTTATACACAATGTCCCATCTGCTGTTCAGGTGGACATTAAAGATCTTATGGCACTATGCTCAAAAAGAAAAGGGAATTTCTCATGATGTGGAAACCAGTTTGCTGCAGTTCTTAAAAGAGCCAGGTTCCAAATGAAGACTGAATAAAAAATTGTCCGCAATTCTGTACAGTCTTAAACGTTGAGACAAAATTAGCTTACAGACTAAGACAAGATGGAATTTCACATTTCATGTGTTTATCAGAGTTCTTCTCTTGTATCTGTTTGGGTTTGTTTATTGTGCAATAGAGATGATATTTCTATTCATAGTATTCTAGATGCTAAATCAGACAATTTACTATAAGCTAGTATCAGTTGGTAGCACTCTCGCCTCTGAGTCAGGAGTTTGTAAGTTCAAGCCCTACGTAAGAACTTTGAATTGATCGTAATTTAGGTTGACACTCAGTTGACACTCCAATGCAGTCGTAATGGTGTGATGCATTGTTGGATGAGATGTTAAACTGAGATCCTTTATGCCTGTTCAGGTGGATGTTAACATTCCCATGGTACGAATTGAAAAGAGAGAGAGTTTCTCCTGGTGTTCTGACCAACAGTCCTCCAGCTAAAGTGATTATTCACTCATGGCTGAGTGTGGGACATTGCTGTGTGGAAATTAGCTGTCGCGTTTGACTACAAAATACAGTCACTATACTTTACAGTGAATCTCCTGTAACCAGTGTGTGTTGTGTAGGCTTTACAGTGAATCTCTTAGAGTTAGTCTTCACATTGATATATGTTTTTTTGCTGTTTGTTTTCTGATGGGACTAATAATTGTGATGAAATACACAGAGTCAATACGAGCTCAGCCAAAAGCAATGTAGAAGAAAGAGAGTTACCCTCACCATTCCCATGTCTATAATCTTTTGCTAGCTGTAAACGTTTCTCCTCTGAGACCTCAGGCTGCATTTGATTCCCAAAAGGCATCACGTTTTGGTGGAAAATAATCTTTTTTCAAAGACCTGTTGACTAAGCTCTGAAGACTGAGTGGAATGTCAGTGGATTGATACAACAAGGTTGATTAAAGATTTATATCATACATATTGTTTTAATTTATTTTTCTTAGCCTCTGTCTGAGTCTAACGCTGCAGGGATAAGTGTGGAGCCTGCACTCCTGACCTCCTGTGCTATAGGCCTGTGGTTCACATCTTGTCGGGAGCTGTAACACAACATTATTACAGGAAAGCTGGTGATCAAGTCATATACTGAAATGGCAGAATGGTGCAGGGGTTCATCAATATAGGTTCATCCTCTTTCTGCCGAATAAATATGTGGTAATAATTAACCAGGACCACAAATTGAATCTAATTTGCGAGATTTGCATACTAATTTGTAAATATTGAATTGTGTAGGAAACCAGATTTGTCTCTCTCTGGAATTTGGCTCAGGTTCCACTCTCAGTTTTGATTTCCATAAAGCCAAACTGCAGCCAAAGGAGGGTGCTGGAGCCCAGCCGGAGATTAGCATACAAACAGAGTTCCACAGAGTTATCCGGCGACACATCAGGGTACCTGCAGTGTTCAATATTTCCAAATACTTCTCACGGATCTCACAAATTAAACCCGCATTGTTATTCAGACAAGCCCAACCTGTGCCAAGGCAAAGGAAAATTGTAACTTGAGATGTACTAAATATTATGTCCTAGTCCCAGTGCTAATCTGAATCAGTTGGTAACATTTTTGTCCCTGAGTCAGAAGGTTATGCGTTCAAAAACTCTACGCTGGGACTTTGAGCTCATTGTCAAGCCTGGCTCTCCAGTATAGTCCTTGGGGGAGCACTGCATTAGTGAAGGTCCTGTTCCTCAGATGAGATGTTAAATCTGCTCGAATGGGTTTAATAGACCAAATTCCCTTTTCCTATTCCATGCCCCTATGACAATCCTGATACACTCTCAATAGCTGAGTCCACTAATAATAATCCCTACATTTGATATAGTGGCTTTATCTGTCGAGAGGATGTCTCATAGGCGCTTCACGGGATTTGGAATGCCACAATCCACAAAATGCCTTAAATTTTGACGTTGCTGCAAAATTTTACAAGTTATGTTTTGTGCTCCATGTAGGTTGTTCGTGTGATTCAGTGCCCTTTACTCAGAAATCCTGCAGGATTCTATCATAATCTTCCAGGTTTCGGAAACAATTCCTGTGGGATTCAATAACACAAACTGTAAATCCTCCAGGGTATTTACTTTGTCTTACAGGGACAAGTATTTCTAGATATTTACAAAACCCTGTTGCATTTTTTGGAACGGTTGCTAGTTGTGATATGCCATGTTAATTATTTGAACATGTGCAGTAGCAATCACACACCAATATGAAAATGAGCAAACTTACTCGTGTTGGTGAATATTTTAAGAAGGGTGGGGTCAATTTTGTGGAATTTCTCAATAAAGATATCCAGGTGGGGGCTTGATCCAGTACCAAAAATAGGTAACTCCCTTCATGATTGCGTGAGAGAATCCCGCTTTGAAAATAGATCGAGTTGGAACAACATTCAGCATAATGTTGCTTTAAAGCTGCAATGCAATATTTAAAGCAACATTGAAGAAAGCTAATCCCAGAGGGCCTATTACAAATTAAAATTGCTTGCTCCAAGGTCATAAAATGCAGCAGTAGAACCTACCATTTGCCTGGAGGGGGAAGGGAACCACCCTCTGCTGGTGGTCATTAAAGTGTTT